CTTTGTGTGTATCTTAAGATTGTTTAGATAAGTTTCTTATAACTTATCTTTCCGCAAACAATCTTGTAAAATCTGTATTGATCTTCTTTATCAATATATATTTTAAATTTGAAAATTGTGTTTGTATTCATCCCTTTGGGACCAACACTTTGATCATTTGTAATCTTTCAGCAATCCAATAGAATTGAGCTTTGAAGAATTATCTCTCTGCATTTCTACTCTCTCTACATTTTTTAAATTTGCTAAAGTGCTCTTGAATCATTGATTCGTAATTGATTAATCATTTCTGTGATTATCAATTGGTATCAGAGCAAATTACAGCAACTTCGAGATTGAATTGCTTTGAATTGGACTAAATTGAATCAAAATTCGGACATTATTTCTATTTTTGTTCGACACCTTCTTGCTTACTGTTTTGGATCGTAATTTCATAATCAAAAAATTTTGGGTGTATTCTGTGCGAATTTCCATTCTAAAATTTTTCTGGATTTGGCTTCCTGACTATTCTTGAATTGTTCTTGTGATTCTATCAAAATTGGAACAATTTGATCGGTTTTTGGTACAATTTGGTACTGAAAATTTGTTTTTGGTGATCTTGCAAATCAATCTGTACAAGTTTTATCCATTTTCGAGTAAATTTGATATGATTTTTGTAAAATCTGTCTAAGTTGTTAGAGTCTGAAAGGAAATAGTTTAAAAGGAGATGATTAAATTTTCTGATGTTGAAAAGAAGTCTGATGGTGAAAAGAAGTTTACAGAAACTAAAAAGAACTTTGATGCTAAAAGAAAGATTCTTGAAAGCAAGATTAAAATTCTTGAGATGAATAATACAAAGCTTTCAGAGTAAATATCTGAATTTGAGAAGATAATTATTTTGGAAAGAGCTAAGTTTGATACTAAAAAAGAAAAAGAATCTGAGAAGAAATATTTGGAGATTTCAAAGAGCATTGCTACTAAGTAGAAGAGTATGGATGATGAGAGAAAGTCATTTGCAATAAAAAGAAAGAATGTTGCAAAGAAGAATGTTGTTATAGCTAAGAAGTTAAATGAGAAGAAAAAATGGATAGATATTGCATCTGAGAATGAGAAAGGAATTTTGAGACAAAAAGAAAAGAGGTTGAAAAAGAGAGAAAAAGTTTTGAAAAAGAAAGAACTGATCTTGAAGGTAAAATTTCAAAAAATTATCTGATTTGAATGTTGATCTTGTTACTGAAAAGAGTATGAGATTTGATTTCGAAAACAAAGATGCCTCAATAACTAAAGAAAAAGATCAATTGTTGAATAAACTCAAAGAGTTCTCTGAAAAGGATAGTTCAACTGAATCTTTATCTTCAGTTAAAAACTGCAAGAGTAATAATTCTTTTGTCAAATCCAACAGTTACTCAAGCAGATTTTCTAAAACTGGTACTTCAAATCATAAATCTCATATGTCTCGACAATATTACAATTATTATGTGATTGAATCAGATAAACATTATAATGTGAAGGAAATGTTTTAAAGAAGAAATCATCTATAAACAACTTTGTTAAAAACAAGTCTGTAGGTGAAATAAATTTTTTTGCTTCAAAGATTGTTTTACCTTGTATTGTCAAATCTACTAATCATTTGATCAATCTTAGCAAGAAGAATATATGTT